CTCAGCCTCTCACTTCTGTGAACGCCTGTTCAATTCTATTGTAAAAAGACTGAAGAGGGTTCAAAAAATTATTTAACCATTGTTTTTATTATGTCAGTCATCATATCACAATGGAGACTGATTCATGATTAGAGATAGAACATACTGGACAGTTTGAAGAGTATTCTTGGACACTTTGTGCAGCCACCCCTTCTAAATTTTATCTCAACATCTATACCCGGAGAATCTTTCATCTGCCAAACATTCATGGAGCTTTGACTCTGGGCCAGGCACTTTTCCAGGCATTAGGAATAGAGCAGCTAATAAAGCAAAGTCTCTGTCCACAGAGACTTACGTTCTGAAGTGGAGGCAGACCAATGAACCAACATATATGATATGATGGTTGCTAGTATTGTTACTGGAGAGTGGGGATCCTTTCCCGATGCATTGTCCAGGTTCTTGATGTCTCGAACAAAGAATCGAGCAAGACATCGAAATACAGTAGAAAAGCAAAGCTTTATTAGAAGGGAAAGTACACTTCCAGACGTGAAGCGGGCCTGAGCAAGAGAGGCGTGGCTCAAAAGGCCTGGCGACAAAGCCTTCAGGGTTTTTATCCCTATTTGTGGGTGGTTACTTTTCTTAGAGGGGTGGGCTTCCTTGATTGACAACTATGATTGACATGACTCAGTGATTCATCATTTGCTTTCTGCGCATGTTTGTTCCTAGAATTCAGTCTGTTATAAGGACATTAATGAACTTCCGGGCATATGCATCATATTATAATGATGGTATAATGAGGTTCAGGTGAGTTGAAGGTCGTTGGGGCCTTCATTGCGCAGCTGTGAGTGACTGGCTTAAACTGGTACCTAATTCTCTGCCAAATGGTTTCTTTGAGTTAAAAAAAATGCCTTTTGGCTTGCTTAATTGTGGGTGGATTAGGGCGGACCCCTTCTAGGATAGGATGACCTCAGTGTCTTTGCAGGCAGACCCGAAACCCCTTAACTAATTTTCCTGCCTACCTCTTTTCTAAGAGCCATGAACCCCCTTATTATTAGTATGGATGTTGAGGGACGGACGGTCTCTTCTTCCGTATCTACTCGGAGTGCCAGCCTATAAGTATTTCATGGTGCGCTTACCCTTTCTGCCTCATTCAGGGTGGGGTTTTGGGTTTCTTGCTAAAGTGCCACCTCAGTCCCTAGACAAAGAAAAGAAGATACAAACTTATTATTTAAATTACATATCTATTAATTTCTATTATTGATTTGCCTATTAAGCGAGTAAAGGGAAACAGGCTTGGTTAAGATATTTACTAAAGAGTGAAAAAAGACCTTTGGCCTAAAGTCCGCTCCCCTCTCAGATTCTAAGGGCCCTGTCTGGCTTAATACCACTTCTGCTAACAATGAGCTGATGACCCTTATCAGTAGCCAGAGGATCTGAGTCGCCAGTTTGAGGCAATTATCAGGATTTGAAGGAGAGGGCCTTTTTTTCCAAAGGAAGAAGGGAAGAAAATTTAACTAGGTTTACTAAAAAGATTAACTCTGCAGGAGATGTCCCATTTCATTACCTGCTAAAAGATTAAGAATTTGACAAGTGATGTCCCTTCTCAGTATGATAAATGCTATGTAACGAAATGAAGCATGGTGAAGGGTTAGAAATTACTGGCAGAGAGCAGGGTGCTCTGATAGATGAGGTGGTCAGGAAAGTCCTCTCCGAAAACAGTGGGAGAAGGAGTCAGGCAGCTAACTGGGGAGAGTCCAGTTAGACCAGAGTCCTGAGACCAGAGCTACCTGATGTGTGTGAGAATCAGTAAGGACTACGTGATTAGAGCACAGCAGGGAGTGCAGAGGCATAGAAGGTGAGGCAGAGCCTTGTTGGCCACGACTAAGTCTTTGCTTTTTATTTTGAGAAGAAAAAAACTCTTGGAAGGTTTTGAGCAGGGGAATGAAGAGATCTAAATTTTCTTCTAAAGGATTCCTGTACCTGTGTAGAGAATATATATATGCTGTAGGAAGAGAAGAGTCAAAGCTAAGAGATAAGTTGCAGCAATCCCGGAAAGAAAGAAAGGCTGGGATCTGGTTGGTAGTGGAAGCAGTGATTCAACTGGGAATATATTTTAAAAGCAAAGCCAACAGAAAATGTTGGTTGTAAGGTCTTGGACATAACTATTTGAGTAATCACATTCAAAGTACAAAAACAAAACCATTTACCAACACAAGTCTTCATTGTTAAGCAAAGAATAATATCCAGTGGTCAAGGGAGAGTAATATTAGTATATGAAATAGTCAAAGATAGGCAGGCGGGATGCCTGAAAGTTATCAGATGACTTTGCAGAACTTTTCATACTTCCATATTTAGAAAAATAATAAAAAGATAGATATATTACTTCCCAGCTAAAGAAAATTCTTGTTTAAATACCGTTTTGTCTGACAGACAGGACCCCTGAGGTTCTTTCATTACTCTTAAAGAATGTGTAACTCCCGCATTACAGCCAGCAGTGCTAATAGCTCACTCTGGGTGAATGAGATTTAAATAAACAAGAAAATGTGTTAACAAACATCGCACAAACGAAATCTGGTGGCCAGAGGCCCATCGGAAAACACTGAATTGTGTGAGTCGGCTGGGTTGAAGGGTGGTTAATCCTTTAAACTTGAACAGGTTGGTCCTCTCTGAGAGATGGGTATCAGAGGTGGCTGAGTCCCGGCTAATACCGGTCTCACATCCAGGGATTGGCCACAATTCCCTGCCGTGGTCTAGAGAACTACCAGCTCTCAGCCTCAAGACCCTGCCTGCCCCTTCCCTGGCCACGCCCTCCCGGTCACGTCGCTGCGACCCACCCCACTCTGACCACGCCCCCACGCTGCGCCGGTATATTCTGCGGGCACGCTCCCTCCCCCCTCACCGCCGCGCCGGCCGCGTGAGCGACTTTGTGGGCGGGTCTTGCGCAGCCCCTGGCCACCCGCGCCTCCTGGACACGCACTTCCTGCGAGGCGTCCGTGCGCACCTTAGGCGACCCGAACAGAGCTGAGCCCAGTCCTGCTCTTCCAAGCTGTTCGCCATGGTGGACGAGCTGGTGCTCCTGCTGCACGCGCTCCTGATGCGGCACCGCGCCCTGAGCATCGAGAACAGCCAGCTCATGGAACAGCTGCGGCTGCTGGTGTGCGAGAGGGCCACCCTGCTGCGCCAGGTACGTCCGCCGAGCTGTCCGGTGCCCTTCCCCGAAACGTTTAACGGCGAGAGTTCCCGTCTCCCCGAGTTTATCGTGCAGACGGCGTCTTACATGCTTGTCAACGAGAACCGGTTCTGCAACGACGCCATGAAGGTGGCCTTCCTGATCAGCCTGCTCACCGGGGAAGCCGAGGAGTGGGTGGTGCCCTACATCGAGATGGATAGCCCCATCCTGAGTGATTACCGGGCCTTTCTTGATGAGATGAAACAGTGTTTTGGCTGGGACGACGACGAAGAAGTCAACGGTGATGACGAAGAGGAGGATGATTACTAGGCCCGGAGACCCTCGGGCCTCCAAGGGGGAGGGCCCCTCACGCCGCCACCTCCCCCCAGCCCCGCCCTGAGCAGTCGTGTACCCCCTAGCCCTCGGATCTTCTACCCTACCCCTGCCCTCTGGTTCTCTCCGTCATCCCCAGAGTGCTTGTCTTTGTTCCAGGAATTGTGCTCCAGTTAGTTACCTGCTGCTGGGGCTGGGGGTTCGCTCTGAAGCGCGCTCTCACCCACTCTGGCCAGCCCCAGGATGCACCCCTGCTAATTTGGACTGTGTCCTGAGCCCCAGTTATAGGGCAGGTCCCTGTTACAAACTGGTCAGACTATGCACAGCCCTGCCAACTGCCAGGCCTACATCTGCCCAGAGACTTCAGCTGCCACTACACCACCGTCCACCACACTTCAGCGACAGACCGCCGCCTTTGGAGCTAAGGACCAACCTAGAAAAATGCCTGAGTTGGCTCCACCTCCTTGGACATTTATTTGGACAGATCGCCTAGCCCTGAAGGGGCCACTCTTTCAACCTACTTAGTTCCTTATCTATTTCCAGAGCTCTCCCGTGCTTGCTGCAGAGGCCTAGTGTGCTTGGCAGCTAAATCGTAGACATTGCTTTTCTCCTATGCACCAGTTTTGCACAGCTGTCATTTTTCCTTTAAAAATTGCAGCAGTCCCACAGATGTGCGCATTTGGACAAAAGCACTAAAAAACAAACCAAAACAGGCACTTAGCCCAGCTTCTCACTACTACCTGGAAAAAGCATTTGGCGTTCTTTTCAATAAATATCAAGCACTACGAAAAAAAGGAGTGTCTTTTTAATGGTTAAGGGCTATCACTGGCCTCTACCACTCTCACTCTGACTCCCATTATTCCTATTGAGATCAGGAAACTTAGTTCAATCTCAGTGTTCTCCATTGTCATCTCTAGGCTACAGAGGACAGCTACCACAGGGCTTCATAGGGATTCTGGTTCTCTTACCAAGGCATTTCTTAAAGCTCAGGTGAAGGGAATGTCCTCTGGGGCCTCCAGGGTGACATGGGTAAAGGGCGAATGAGCTTATCCCACACTGGGACACTTTTGAGAGTGAAAAGGGGCACTATTAATGATTAGACTGAGACAACAGGCATAAATCAGGACACATAAAATGTTCCTATCTTCCTGAGCCTATTGGTTCCTTTCTCAACACTGCCAGGGAAGTTCTGCCCCTTCATCATTATTGCCTGTGGGGTGCTATTGAGTTCAGGCTTTAACTGATAATGGAGCACACTATGTTAATCCCCCTTTCAGGTGCTTGAGCTAACATTAAATTCTGGATCCTGAGTAAGTGCACTATAACAAATAGAGCCTGATCTCAATGCTTCACCCTCCTTGGGCAGACACCCTTAGAATCCTCACCTATACCTGTGCCCCAGATTCCTGTATATGGAAATTGGCAAGGTGCCTGGCTATCTCCTGAACCAGACCTTCTATGGCTGAGCTATTCTGAGATCAGTGGGCCGGGGTGGAGGGGGCTCAGAAGCTTAAGGGAGTGCCCTGGGTGCTGAGAAGAATCTTCATACCTTTGTGAGGTCGTTATCCCAGGTTAAGTTATTGAAATGTTAAATCAGAGAAGCTTGCTTGAGGGATTTGTGGGGTCTGCCTCTGCCATCCAGGAAGGTTCGTGAGGATTTGAGGAGTACAGAGTTCTCATTCTCATCTATATCTGCCCAAATGTCATTGTACCATGCCCGGAGCCAGCCATACCTTAGGACTAATAATGAATTTTGATAATAAATTTCCTTATTGTTTAAGAAGACCCTTTGAGGCTGGGTATTTTTTTTTATTTGTACTGGTAAACCACTCTGTGGATTAAATGAGATACTGATTACCTCAGAGGTGTGGATTTGATGAAGTCACACCCATGAGGTATTTAGGATTCTCCCTGCTACAGTACACACGGGCTGTTACTACCAGGCCTGAGAACCAAAGTCTTGCTTGGGAGGCAGGTCTCTCGCTATGATCTTGGCTTTAGTTGCTATGAAGAGGAGCAGAGCAAGCTCAGGGAGAGTGGAAATGAGAGCATGGCCAAGATCTCACTTACTCTTTAGAATCTGACATGAAGTCAAAGAGAGCCAGTTTACTTGGGGAACAGGCAAAGCCTGGGACAGGAGTTATTTCTCAGGCCAGGAAAGTTG